CACAAATTTTGTTGATTGCAGTCTTTAAGTCTTTGTACAAAAGTATTAAGAAACATGTTTATATCACCCACTTCATGTGTGATCCACACTGAACCAAAGCCATAACTAAATAGTAAGTGTTAACCTTTGATGCCAACGTTATACGATTACATTCATCTAATGATTTACATAATAAATAGCATTGTATTGGATATCTAACAGTTGGCATTGCTAACATTTTAACCAAAAAGTAATACATCGTTTATCATATTCAATAAACAGACCATGTCTACAACATTCACCCACAGCAACATCATTTGAGACATAATACCCAACACCTAAAACATATTTACAAAACTTAATGTGAAAACGTTCAACATATTCAATTTTAGAAAATCTCCATACCTCACTAGAATAAAGTAAAATTGGTTTTATCTGTATATCAAAAATCTTAAATAAAACAGTGGGAGATATATTCTTTAACAGTTCAGATTTACAAGATTTAATCATCTCAGGTGTAACTGCATCAGGTCCAGGCGCTTTCCCAACACTGAGATTGTCAATAGCCTGAAGAATTTCAACGTTCGATATTTCACTGTTTAATATGTGGTTACCGCCATCATCATTACAAGCACTACAAGTTTTGTCATCATGTTCTTTCACAAACTGATCAGCTTTATTGAGATGATCTTGATCAATGTTAGTGCTTATGGTATTAAATCAGTTCCAAAATATGACACCTATTCAGTCGCTGATATTGAGTTTGATGTGCTACATTTTGGTTTTGTCAGTTGTTTAATATGACTCCAAAATGTTCTGGAATTACAACAGCTGCTAGACAGCATGTTAACCTGCTCCTCCTCGTGTCGTTCTTTCTTCAGACGACATAGATGTCGATACGAGTTTCTTAATAAACGAAATTCAGTCCAATATAAAGAGATGCCAGTTTTCCTGAACATGTCCAAGTTTGAATATTTAAGCTGTTTCAAGTGTCTACACTCCCGTCATACCACTAAGCACTACGAGGTTGAGAGGACAAACCTCCGTGGACTCGCATACCACACTGTTCTGCACTACGGGTTATACAGGAAGTTAGTTTTGAGACAGCGTCGTCTACACTCCTCAGAACATCGCTTGTGAAGTCATGAATGCCATAAGATGACAATTCACATGTGAGGCTACCTGAATAATCGTATATCTTTTCTTCCTTCCATTTAAGTTTAAGAACAGAAATTTCTTCATTGTCATTCACGTCAACTTTGTCACGATGTATTTTCGTTCGAAAGGTCAATACAATCGGCAGATGGTCCGATTCACATCGGGTATCAGTCTGAAAGTCATGATCTATATCAAACAGATCAGAGGAACATAAGCAGTAATCATCAAGGCTGGTGCCACTGGCAGTATAACATGTCATATCACCGTTAGGATCAGATTCACATCGGCCATTCATCATGTGAACATTCAACGAACAACAGAGGTCTATTAAATCTGTACCATAAGAACTCACAATGTTATCTAAGCTTTTCCTAGGTGTTTGAAAACTGTCAGAGATGTATTCCATATCTTCGAGAATCGGGATTTATTTATCATCATCACGTAGAATATTGTCTCTCAGGTTCCAAGTCCTCGCTTTCAGATCACCCATGATGATGCACCGAGTGTCCGAAATGTCAATGTCGGATAAACACGACAATAAGCAGTCTTCCAAATAGTCCAATCCGTTCAACAATCTAGAATCATTCTTTACCGATGGATTTACTGGATGAATGTAAACACAACCAAATAAAATGTTGTGCGACGTTCGACAAAGATTTTTATCAAACAGGATGAAAATTCAATCAACAAAACAATTATTTGTCATTGAATGATTAAAGCGTGCATAAAATAAGTAATGAATGAATATAGGATTTCCTGATTCCTGAGGTCAACACGTGTACTGTAACCAGGTCAGCTATGGCCAAATCAAAGATATAATACATGCAGATTATTTGCCACGGCACACTTGAAGATCCGGATTAGAATTGGTCTTTGGCAAATCCACGTCGTAAGAGGCGACATTTGGATCGCATGGTCAAGCATTCTGAATTGGCCGATGCATGTCATAGTATCCTGTGTAGATAGATGTCTGTCACTGGAATGTCTGGCCCAGACTCGTTCATTTACAGACCAGACTCAAATATCTGGAACATTAATACGTCGTTAAAGAAAACAAATCAAACAGAATTTACCACGGGTACAACTGTGTATAGTGAATATTATGCCATCATATTGAAGAGCATCTCGACATATTTCATCATGGTGTTCCCCTCCATCGGGACAATGTTCCACTTTACACCAGTTATGTTGCAATGGCTGCGTGCCAGGATGTGGATATCCCTATCCTCCCTATTCATCAGATCTGACAACTTGTGACTACCTTGTGTTTCAAAACTGAAAAAAACATCTTTGCATGGTGACAGTTTTGACGAAGACTAAGAATGTCTTGCTGTTGCGGAACAGGACTTGACCATCCTACAAAGCAGAGATGACTGGCCTACAGAAGAGATAGAAGTGAAGTGTGTTCGAACTCCACATTCGCCCCCGTCCACGACTCCTGGCATATCTGCCCCCTAAACGTAATGATGTGTTTTACCAACATGAAGACAGCAGTTGCCACAACTGACATGACCTTATTTTAGATAATCATTTCGTGAAAACACCAGTTAAACGTTCTGTCACTTGTAGGAGCCTTCTGTAACCTGTCACTGTGTCTAAATGCATATTTTCAGAGCGCTTCGCCTGCAAGCTGCAGTCCTCCGCATTTTGCCTCGTGCTGAATCGATTTATCTGCCTGCTTATTGTACACGTTACTTGACAAGATTCTCTCAGATAGCCCCGAGCACTGTTACATAATGGAGACGATATTGACACATGGGAAAACGACATGTTTTGATGAAGTTACAATCATAATAAATTTATAATGTATCATTGGAGAGCAATTATAATATTCAGCTTCTCTCACACAACTTTAATGGTCATTGATGTGCACAGACTGAAAGCGCAGAAACAGCGGCACAACTGCGGTGTGATGTATGTGACGTCCAGGTTGGAAAGCCATGATATCCCCCGCTGACGCTCCTTGCCGTGCCCATAGACACTGGGAACACATACTGCGACGTCTTACATAACCATCTGATGACCTTGTCCATATGTCATTTACCGTTACATATTCTCATATCACGACTGCCTATTGACTTAATCGAAGATAATTTCAAGTTGGTACGATCTTTATGAAAACAGGTTTGAGTGCTTGGCAACATGTATTAGCACACCGAGACTGAGAACCGAAGATAGACATTAAATATTAATTAACAGTCTTTAAAGGATCATGCCATGCACATAAATATATAATGTTTCGTTCAATGGATGCTTTGGAAAGTGTCCAAACTGCCAACGCAGTAGTGAGGCCTAACTCATGGCTAACATTTGGAACGGTGGTTGCCTTGCCCCTGCATGTGTTTTTGAGGGGTGTCAATGCTAGGGCAGGTATGTTTACCTTTTGGGGAACGTCTGGTATCATCTCTATTTGAAAGTGAATCACAGACAGATGCTACCGTCGGAATTTAGGCAGAGACTTCTTATGTTTTGTTTGTTAGTTAGTTTGTTGTTTAACGCCGCACCCAGCAATATTCCAGCTATATGGCAGCTATCTGTAAATAATCGAGTCTGAACCAGACAATCCAGTGATCAACAGCATGAACATCCAAATACGTAAAATCAACCAGGTCAGCGAGCCTCACCCGATCCCGTTAGTCGTTTCGCCTCTCATGACAAGCATGGGTTCCTGAAGATCAGATCTAATCCGGATCTTCACGGGTCGATTTCTTATGAATAACCACGGGAATTTTTCACTGTTAATCAATTGTTCAATTCATACAACAGCAACTCATGTATGATAAATCGGCTTGTATTTTCTTCGCACTTGTTAAAGTGAACTGATAATACACTACATGGCACATAGTTATTTTAGCTGAAACTTATCACCCGATTTCAAACTCCATCCCTACTTAATTAATCGATTACCTTGGAGTCGTTCAAACACGTGCCAGGAAAACCGGATATCCTGTGTTTCAGTTTACTGGTGGGTCACGTGATCATCTTCTGCGTCAACATGTATCTAATCGAATAGTTGGGATTTGAGCTCATTGTAACTGATTATTGTTTATACACTGTTTATAACTACTACAGAACTCGTCTCAGTATTGCTGTATTCAATATAATAACTCACCGCAATAAATGTATCTTGCCTGAAGTTGGTCAGTGGCTGTCCTTCATTAAAGACAAAGGTGACGTTGCCACGACAACGTGATACTGGATGGAATTACGGATGATAAATGGATGTTGATTAGATTCGCTAATAACCACATAAACAGAAGATACTAAAGGGTCAAAGGTCAAGGATATATAGCTTAATGACTGGAGTTGGAACTATATGATGTTTTTGTACCTATCATCGGGAGAGGGACCAGTCTATTTAACATTTACATCCATGTTATAATGAAGAGGTTGAAACCCTATATTTACGCAGACTTCCCATAATGATTGAAAAACAGTTTTTACATAGTTTTATATATTTGACAAATACTGCAGAATAATTGCTTTCTGTATTCGTTGTATTGGGGGGGAGGATATGAATCACAGGTTTAAGAAGTTTACCCATTGGGCCGAACCCGAGGACGTAGGATTTTGGTTTTCCCAAGGGTCGCAAGGAATTCTGGCTCCGCATACGACTGGGTGCTTCATTCCCCGTTGGTGACATCACAAATCATTCGGATGATTGAAACGCCTAAAGGACAACAGCATGTTTAGCACCACCATAATTAATCAGAGGGTCCCATTTATCAACTATCCCTCCTACACACCCATCCACCAACACCCAGGTTGTTCCACACACACGGAAGAACTGCTGTCCTTTGCAGTTCCCGACAGCCAACGCACGTCGTGCCAAATTAAAGACAAAATGCCACAACGCAGCCAGGTAGAAACAATCGATGCCTGTTTGATGAAAGGTATGCTTTGCCGGCTCTTGCTGCCATAGAAACATGCCCGATATAACGCGGCGACAAGCCACTTCGCAATAGTGTTATACGCCCGGGAGCGTTGTTCTGGACTGATTGTCTCCAACAGGACGGGACGAGTCGGGGAGGTTGTTGGACGTTGTTGGTGTCTGAGACACCTATAGAAGTGGGAATCACACCAGGCTGAAAACAGTACGAGAGGGGACTTTCATTCTCTCTCCTGGGTGCTCTCTCCAGCGTGACGTGGACATACTGGATAAATATTTAACCATTCATAACCGACTTGAACTCTCTCACGTAAAGGGTCGTTCGTGACACGAATAATAAGTGTTGTAACCACGGCCTGGGGACTATCGGGAAGACGGGGAGCTGGCATCACGACTCTGTTAGACACCGCTTCAGTTTGGTGACCCGTAGGATGCTATACGATGATGGCTTCGCCGTTGATAATTCTGATGGCGAATGCCATCTTCTTTGGAGCCCTGTCCGCCATGATGATAATGATAGCAGTTTCCGTGGACGCCTGGCAGAGCTACACGTTTGATCAAACCGTCTTGAAGTCTCTGAACGAAAGTCTGGATACTTACACCATCCTCCAGCTGTCCAACACAACGCCAATATACAAGGTTTTAGTTCAGACGAATCCGCAGTCTAATGTCACGGAAGACTATTATCTCCATGGTTCGTACACGGGCCTGTGGCGACTTTGTGACGATATGTCAGGTAGGTCTTTCGCCATTCGCAAACAGGACAGTTTACCTGAAATCGCTTTCAACTGTAGCATCCATGCTTCAAGACCTGTTATGTCTAGAACACATTACAGAATCCTAATATCCATGTACTAAACTATTCAAATCATTCACGTTATTTAAACAGCTAGGTTTGTAATTAACTAATTTTCGGAAAAGAGTTTTATAGATGTCAACCTCTTCATTAAGAGGAACACAATGTTTCGGAGTATATCCTTACTCCTTCATTCACCTGATGAAGGAGTAAGGATATACTCCGAAACGTTGTGTTCCTCATAAGAAAGAAGTTGACATCCATAAAACTATCTTCCTTATGTGTAGCACTTCTAAATGCCAAAGACCTAACTAACTTCGGTTGGCATTTTTATACTTGGTGGATTTCAACTTGGTGGTTGAATATTAAAGTTACATTGTATTCCAGTGCAAAGGTAAAAGTCACACACATAGACACTGATACGCACACGCACGCACACACACACACTAACACTAACATAGGTAGTATATGCCAAGTGGCTGGTAAAAAATCGTTTAGTTCTTTTAGGTTTTCAAAGTCCAAGTTTCGCTACACATTTTACAGCTGTTGTAGAACTAATTCCCTGGTCCGGACTCACGAAGCATTACATAACAATAGCAAACCCCTGGCAGATGGATTACCTGGACGTGTTATCCAACGTCACGTCATTTGACGTCCGGGGAAACACAAGAATTGTCAACTGATTTGTTCTATCATTTACGAAGGTCTTGCCCACAGCATCTGTCATAATCCGTCGATTTCCCATCTGTTAATTACGTTGCTGCTATTGATACAGCTGACGCTGGGCTTGCAATTACATTCCTGTAACGTATTAATGGAGATTTGAAGTAAAATGTCACTATATACTTTGTTCACTTATTCACGCCTTTTTGTAAAGTGAAAAATGAATGTTTCATTTTTCCACATTTATCTGTAAATTTATTGTCAACACAGACATCACACATAGTTCCGTTGAACATATGTTATAACATGTTCCTAGTTTGGGTTCAATCTTAGATTTGGCCCCACCCCAAAAATACTAAAATTTGTACTTTACCAAAGAGATGAAATATAACTTCCGTCACTGTAACGTATTCTTATACTCACGGTGTGTTCGGTTTGTACAAGAAGTGATGTACAATTGTACGATCCATATACAAACTAGAGATTCACCTTTTGTACATTTAAATACAGGATTTACTTTTAATTTCCTCTATATTGTCAAAGTGGTTACTACCTCAGAAAAGCTGTGAAGTTAAGGATCCACTTGAAGGCAGTTAGGTAACTGTTCAGATCCATACTATAATTATGTTTGGACAGGATGTTATCGCAAACTGTTAACTGCTTTCTAGCCTGGGAAGAATTTATTGATTCTCTGAATATTAATAATAATGTTATTATAAATTAGTTTGATTCCACTTAGTTTGTTTTCCTGAACATCTGGTATTGGACGGTGATTCATGGACCAACTGCGTGGGATATTTTCGGAATTACAGCTGGCTCTGTTAGGAGTACAGATTTATTGCGGTTATGGAAATGGATGTGTTGCTTATATTTGTATAAACACTGTCGAGGTATTGGACGGCATTATGGACATTTGTCAGTTATGAATAGTGCTGGTTGTTTATTTTTTTAGATGTCGAAAAATATTTTTCATAATTTGATTTGTTAGAATATTCCATTACCTGATGCCCTTGACAGAGTGAATATTGTTTCTAGTTTGGATAACCGTTTTTTTAATAAGGTCGGCGTTGTAGCTAGTTGTATCTAGAGCTGAAAGGTATACAAATTATTATTGATATTTGTACATGTTTGGCCATAACATATCATCTTGTCTGTCAACAAAAACAGTGAATACACTATGTGGTATTGGATTGTCTAATCAACATTCGATTGTTTCCAGAACGCCAGGGGGTTTACATTCAGTCAAACGAGAACCTCTTGTGCTAATTGTGAATGACCAGTGTTCCAGTGTGACCTGCTTACTTCTTTTGCAAACACATCTGGACTGACCACATAATTTTCAGAGTGGTCAAGTTACGCTTTACTAGAAATATCATCATAAGAAAGTCAATCTATTTAGAAAAGGAAAGCTATTACAAAGGACTGATCTTAGTGAGTGAGTGATTATAATTTTACGCCGCTTTTAGCAATATTCCAGCAACATCACGGTGGGGACACCAGAAATGGGCTTCACACATTGTACCCATGTGGGGAATCGAACCCGGCTCTTCAGCGTGACGTGCAGACGCTTTAACCATTAGGCTACCCCACCGCCCCGACTGATCTTATAATGTGAGATACTTTCTGAATACGAACTGTGTAGTCTATATCTTTTATCTAACTTTACGGTAAACTCATGGAGGACAATTCGGTCACACAAATGATGTCCGATGCAATTATTTAACGTGACTTGGCCCATATTATCTCGCATTTTTGCAAGTAAAGTATTGACTTACCTTTGCATGTGTTTGTGACGGATATCACGAGATAGACAGGATACGACACCTTTTCGCGAACACCTGGTGTCATTTTAATTTATTATTAATTCATACACAAATGTTCATGATGCAGTCAGAATCACACCATGCCTTCAGAAGAGATGCTGGATGGCTTTGGAAATGTTTTGTGAGTTTTCATTTCTAGACACATACCGTACAGCCATACTGTTGAAGCTTATAGTTCCAAACTGGTAATAAGGTATCACACATGCATGGTATATCAAGATGCTATTTAAAAACAACAATTTCTAACTTCTATAGGTTTTTCCCTGGTACATTCCAATAAGCCTACCCTTAAAACGCCATACTGATATGAGTACCCATTGGTATTACAGACAAGAGACGATGTAATGCATTCACAACTTGTCATTAAACGTTCATCTTACTATCAAACAAAAGTGAAACATATATACCATCGTAAAATGAAATATTAATCCGAACGATGACGTTAGGCCTCATTGCCTTGAGGATACCTTGCCAATCCTAGCTGTGAGGATTTATGCTTTGACGTATTTTTCTCTTTCATTTACATACTGAATTAAACTGCCGAGCTAAAGAATAGTTGAAAATGGGATTTGACCAAAATAACATTGGTTGTCGAACTGAAAAAAGCGAAGGACAGCAACCTTTGCTCCATCTATGATGCAAAAATATCACCATCAATAAATTAGTACTTTTTTTGTTAGCTACCAACAAACATGGCTGTATTCTCTTTTGTTCGGTAAGATCTTCTGGAACGATATATCATGTTTTTGTGATAAGTACTGTAACCTGTGGCAACATGTTCGAATCCCTTGATAACGTCAAAATGAGAACATGATAATACTTCTATGGATGATGATTCGTGGAACCGTTTCTCTCAGTACTGGACTGGCTGTTCCGGTGTCATACCCTACCCGGATGTTGTTAACCGCATGCATGACACGGTAAATTATAGCCAGGTTGGTTTCGACTGGATGCCCAACAAATGATGAGATGCACATTTGTATAGGTTCATTACAATAACCAGAGATGAAATAACACTCCCAGATGTTAGTGTGAAAATGTTGGAAGCTTACACTATTTTGACAGTATTACGGTCTACGAGGTGCACCTGAAAAGTTATGAAAGATGTAAAGTACATCCAGTTTGCGTCCCATGAAGATCTTGGCTAGAATTGATCTTCAGTAACCCATGCTTGTCGTAAAAAGCGACTAACGGGATCGGTGGTCAGACTGGCTGACGTGGTTGACACATGTCATCGTTTCCCTATTTTGTAGATCGATGCTCATGTTCTTGATCACTGATTGTCTGATCCATACTCGATTATTTACAAATTGCCGCCATATAGCTGGAATACTGCTGAGTGCGGCGTTAAACAACAAACAAGCAAACCCACATCCAATTTGCGACTATGAAGGACAATATTTTCCATGCATTTGAACCGGCAACACAGTGGACAGCCTATTCTGCATGCATCAGAGTGACTAAGTACTAGGGCGGTGGGGTAGTCTAGTGGTTAAAGCGTGGGCTCGTCACGCCGAAGACCCGGGTTCGAATCCCCACATGGGTACAACGTGTGAAGCCCATTTCCGGTGTCCCCCCGCCGTGATGTTGCTGGAATATTGCTAAAAGCGGCGTAAAGCCAAACTCAGTCAGTCAGTCAGACTAAGTACTGCGTTGACGAAAGTGGACAAATCTGACTATATGAAGTGATCAAATATTCTCAACTGAAAGGGCTAACTCAAAAAAGCCATCCATGCGAACACTGAGTCGTCAGTTCGGAAATGATGACCCTCTTTCGTTTTCCCCTTTTGAGATCCTCGGTGTTGACCAAAGACTTCACAAAGTTCTTAAATGATCCGTGATGTTGAGTGATATCAGTCGCTGAAAGCAATGTTAACATCGGACTGTGAACATCTCCGGAATAGAAGGAACGGTGTGCTTGGTAATGCCTTTAGGCTTTCCAAAGTAAACGTGACAAAACCCTTTCAACATCCACAAGACGTCTTTGACAAAAGCAAGTTTCGACTGCAGCATGAGCATGATTTCTTTAATCACTGTAAATGGTGATGAATGACACCTGTGAATCTTAGAGGTTGATAATCTCTGGAATGGTGAGACCATTAAAGACAATTATTACGTTAAGACGTAAAAGGTGATTTCCCCCAGAAGATGATACGCCTGTTCACCATGTTGTCACCGTGGATGCAAAGTTCTGAAAGAACTGTCTAGCAAGCATCATGACAATGATGATGATCTTTTTTGGTTTGCTATACATCACATTTTAAACTACGACGATGAAACCATCTATACTAGTGTCCTCCAGATAATCCAGAACATTTGGAAGAAAATGGGAGCACCTTGGAGTGAATTATGTATACAATATCGAGCAACAAACTCAATCACTGCAGTCAATAATTCTCAGCATATTTCAACCCCCTGCGTAGCTTCTGGTATATATTACATACAATGCCGTGA